CGAGAAGTAGCCATACTCAGTGATATATATAGACATCACAATAAAAATGTGATGTGATTTTTGATATAATAGTTCGGTTGGATAAATCAAACCTTGATGAATGAATATTTAAATAAATAAGAAATACAAAGGATGAGCACATATTTGTGACATTTGAAAAACACATTATACGCTTGATACATTACCAAAAAGGAACACGCTCAAAATGTCTCCTATTACCTAAAAAAATTCCAAAGAATACCACCACTGCACTAACTAATATGAGGTTATAGGCTACTGGCAAATTTGAAAATCTTGAAAATACTTTTGAATCAGGATATTTTTTTCTCCATTTCATGCAGGATTTTGTATTTTTTGCCGTTTAATGATTACCCTCCAAGCCATTTACTATTTTTGACCATTCAAATGTTAGTTTAAATTAGACAGCCCTAATGGTTCAATGTAGTTGTTGGATGTTTATAACTTCAATAAATCTGAATGAACAATATATTATGTTGGTACATATACAAGCCTGAAATGAAATATGCAAGTATGGTTAAAGTTTCACGTAACCTGACGTTCATTTGTAAGGACCACAGCAAAGCAATGGAATGTCAGTGAAATGTTCGGTGAGTGACGCATCGTCTGTGGGCTCCGCCTCAGATCCTCCCCTCGATGGGACGATGCTGAAGGAGTGAACTGGAGTGGCTGGAGAAAGGAGGCGTGGACCTGCTCATGAAAATCAGTTAAAACCAGTGGTACCTAATAATCCTGTGGGTCCTTACTTGATTGTTTTGGGCTTTTTTCTTTAAAAAAATAATAATAATATAAAATAACATGAAACTAGTGCCCCAGTATTTTAAATAATGCCAAATAACATGAAAGCACTACTACAACTGTCAACTCAACACTCAACAAAAGTCAGACACCAAACAAATCTCTAAACATAAAACCACTATTACAACACGAAAAGTGCCAAGAGAGACGGTCTTTTCTTTTCAAAGATATGTTTTAATGAAAGTGATATTCATTTAGGATTATTGTTCTTACCTCTGCCAGTGGTAGAGGGGGTAATTATACTTTGCCATGGGCGGATTAGTTTGGCCTTTTCAGTAAAGCTTGAAAATGAGACATGGATCAGTTTAAGGTGACCCGGATTACTCTATGATCCATGACTTAAAAAATATATATACAATTGACAGCACATTTTGGATATTTGACATAGGTGTTGTTATTGTGATTTAATATTTATTTAGAGAGCAGTGTCTTTTTGTGTTATATTCACCATTTAGAAATACTTTCCCCACGCAAAGGTGCACATGGTGACTACTGGATCAAATACATACATGGTCAGAGCCAACTGAATATTACAGTCCTTATCCTAACCCCTGACAAAAGTATTAGACACTGCGACCACCAAACATAAAACTAAAATATAACATACATAAAATACACACAGAGAACTATGTATTATTATCACACAAAACAAAACAAACAGAGCTAGTTCTGTAAAGCACTGGCATAAAACTTTACATCACGCTCAAATCCAGTCACTCCTCCTAGGTTTTATTCACAACCTACTGTGTTCTTGTTTAAACTGTTCATTAAAGTGATACAATGTTTTCTTTATGTGGCAAACACAACTGCTCCGGCAACACTAACAGTGACAAACCAGATCAGAGGACATCATTTAGCAGTGGGGGACGATGAGCTAATCTAGCAGAAAATCTTATAATGAGCAATTCTTGTAGGATTTACCCCAATTTAAAATCAATGTGGATGCAGTAGACCCTTTTATTCGAGCTGTAAATAGTCAGAGCAGTGTAGAGCAGGTCACGTTGATGGACCCACACTTGCATTTTGGTTGCAACAGATTTTGACACGGCTCTAGTCATTTTTCAACAAAGGCAATAAATTAGGTATAATTATGTCACAGCATGATTACTTAACTTATTATCAAAATGACTTAAAAGCAATTATTAGCAGATGCATGGTTTTATTCTGTTAAAGAAAATAAGTGGGGCTTGCACTACAAGAAAAGTTATGGTGTTATTATGCGTAACCCAATTATATCTTATCCCACTGAACAAAACACTTCACTGCGGTTTGTGTCTGGATTTCTCTAGTCTCTAGTCACGCAGGCTTACTTATGCCTTTAATCTTTCCTGCTTTCTCCCTCTCTTTCTTCTCTGCAAATTAATTTATGGTCTAATTACAGGACAAGCCTCCAGATATGAGGGAACACAAATCACTGGTCCTTAGCAGATGGCAGAAAAACGGCACTGGATAATTGAAAATCTTGAAGTGGATCAATATTTAGAAGCCCAAGGTTACTAGAAGTGTGACATTACTATTAGCATATAGAGGTATGATTAATTATACAGGCAGAATGTCTTCTTATTAGAATTTAAATGACCACGGTAGCCAAGTATTTGCTTTCCAGTGCTTTTCCACATAGATTTTCAGAGCCGCATACCTCCAGTCATATGTATTCATTTAGATTCATGCATGTATAGTATAATACGTGGAAGAACTGAAACTCAAAATGCCTTTTTGGTCCACCCCTACATGTCCCTCAAAGCACCCTCGCAGCAGTTACCTCTGGCCTGTTAAAAATGATATCAGCACATGGAGGGCGAACATTAGCATTTGCATTTTATTGGAAGTGGTGAGATTTAGAGCGGAGGGTATATCAGCTCTGAGCAGACAGAATTAGTTAACAATGCATTACCTGCCTTTTATGGCAGCTATAACTCTCTGAGCTGGTGGGGAGAAGAGATGAAGGCAGCAGGAGGGAGGGGCACACAGAGGCTGCTGCTGCACGCTGTGACTGAGGCGTTCAGACAGCAAATAGCTTTGTCTCTGAAGCTTTACTGCATATTAATGTGATGGCACACTCCTTAAATTAGAGCATCACATTGCAATTGTCTTTAAACGCGTGAGCACTGAGTACAGTGCAAAAGTGATGCTGCAGCTATCACTTACGACCTTTACATTTGAAACTGAGACCCAGCTGTTGGGCAGCTGCAAAACAGCTGGACCACATGATATAGGCCACATGATATCGATCGCAATCTTTTTATCTCATATATTTAATGCTCTTTTAAGCAGGTGTTCATAATCTGTATGTACATAATGCGTTTGCTATATGGCCTGTAACGTTGAATATGTCACTGCATCTCCATTCAACAGTGGGGTTCTGTTTACTCTACACAGATGCACCAAAACTCCCTGGACACTCATCTGTTGTAATGTGCAGCAAGATTACCAACCTCTGCTGTGGTTAATACCCCATGGAGCTCATCTCAAGTAGTTTACAACCAAGAGTGCATGTCAAGGTGGTTATAGGCAAAAAAATAAACTCAGAAAATGTTCTCTCCAAAACCAAATGTTAACTTATAGGCTTACTTGGACACTGCTAGTCTATTTGCATTGCTATTCACCCGTTGTCCTATTGTCTGTTTCATGGCGCGACAACGGGACCTCTGAACTGGCCCTATCCATCTACACCGGATTGCCCTGCCCGACCCGCCTGGGAGCGCTTCAGTCCAAGCTCTGCGGCCGCTGCGTGGCATTGGTCATCGTTCTGTAGCTTAGGTCAGAAGCCCGTCCGTCGGTGTCGGAGCGGATCCTTTTCTCAAATGTGGATCTCCGAGGTGTCTTTTTTCCCCCCACTGGGTTTTTGTGAGTTTTTCCTTGCCGATGCAGGAGGGTCTGTTGGGCAGTAGTGTCCAACTAGAAGGACTGTGGTGATGATCCAGGACACTAACATTCTACAACATGTATGGATATTTATCATTCATAGACACTGGTCTCTCCCAATGGACCAATTCATATGGGTATATTTTGTGTCTTAACTGTTGATTCGCTGATCTGGGTTGGTTTTGTTAAGTCCTCTGAGATGGCTACTGTCGTGATTTAGGGCTATACAAGGTTAAGTTGTTTAGAATTAGCCTGGAACCTAGAATTATCCAGGCAATAGGATGCCCAGTTGAATGTCCACTATAGGATGACAATTCGCAAGTGACCTTCACATCCAATTTTTTAGCTCTAAATCCTTCACTTTGATATCCAAATACTCAAATGTTCAAAAAGTAAAATGTGTTTGTCATCACTATGCTATGACAGTGACTTGACTGACTCCTGTTGAATAGCAAAATGTACCCCCAAGAGCCAGGGAATCCATGTTTAAAGTAATTGGCTACATTTGCGTGACAATTGAAAACCAGTGGCATCTGTAGGCAGTGGTTGTCTCATGCAGTGCAATTCACACTTGGGTGTCCATTTTGTTCAAACTGTACATATAGCAGTCATGGGAAAATTGTTGATCTAAAATTTGTGGAATGTGTAAATATTAGTAGAAATGTTTATTAAAGAATGCTAGCATACATAATGAGTCCCTCATTACAAAATCTGAGGATGTAATTAGGAAAAAAAAAAAAAAACTAAATCCTTCAAAAAATTAAACTATGGGTTTGCTGGAACCTAAATGATGAGCTGTGCAGTAAAGCCCTTAAGTTCAATATGAGGTCAAAGTAACTTTTAAAAACAGGAAAAAAATGTTAGCTTATTTTTTCAAAATTATTTTGATGGCTGACTATGATTTATTTAAAAAGTGAAAACACTACACAGAATTAAAAAAAAAAAGTTATATTTACAGCCACAAGAGGGCAGAAAAAATACTGCAGGTGAACCTGTGGTCATGATACCCCATACAGTGTACACAGTGAAAAAAAAAAAACACCAAGATATACAAAAGAGGGAATGTCATTTTACTGATAAAGACTTTTAAAAACACATTAACATCTAAGTTCAAACTTAACAATTGCAACTACTACAATTATCAAGATGTTTGGCCAGTGTTTGCTGTGTAATAAAAACATGAATTTACTGGGTGATGACGGTCGTTAAAGTACTCAAATAGCAAGATGTGAAACAAATTTTAAAAATCCAATACAGAAACTTGCACACCACCGCGGCAGCTCATCACCCATGTCCAGATCGTTGATAATGGACCAGGTTTAGGGTCTGTGTGCGCTGATGAGAGGGCTGGTCAAAGCAGTACTGTGTTCAGTCTTTGTACGATGAAGAAAACACACATCTGGATTTTGAGTGAAAATGTCTGAGTAAAGTGGATAAGTCTTCTCACGCACTCACAGCCTCCTTCTCTTTCTTGTCCCCATCTTCGTGCCAGGTTAGGCGCTCCTCGTAGAACGCTATTACGATCTGAGGGCATCTGTGGTTGGCATCCTTGGCTAACACCAGATCAGCCTCTTCCGAGTCTTTCCTGAAATATTCAATAGGGTACAAGGAATAAATCTGGATTTCTTCATTAGAATAAAATATCTAGACAAGTACTTTCTAGAAGGGGAGTAGACAAGAGGGACACAAAAATGACAGAACTCCTTCTGCCATCCATTTAGTGGCATGATGGTAGCATACCTGGCTCCACTTGAGCTTTGTTGAATTAGAATTTACTTTTTAGTTCGATATTCGAGAAGTGAAATAAAGTTAGCATCTTTTACAGAAACTGTGCAAGAATTATTGAAACCAAATTAGGCATGGGCATAAAATTCTGAAGAATGGAAAAACAGGAACCACCAAACAACTCTCAAATGATCCCAAATGTCCATGCTTGGAACCCATACTTCACAAGAATCCAGACTCTAATTCAAAGTTATATAAAACATTTAGAGGCCGTTTTTTTGCAAAAGTTACTTTTTCTTTTGTGGTCCCTATATGTACGCACATGCCTAAGTTATAGGAGGATCTTTGAGGGACGTTGTTTATAGTTTTTCCGCGCCGGTCACGTGACCGGGTGGCAAAAGAGCATAGACTAGGGATGTAAATTGGCGACCGTTTAACCGGTGGTTGACCGTCACAGCGTTAACCGGTCAAAGCTGTCGGTTAAAAAAGAGAAAAAGGGGAGAGGGGAGGTCTCTTAATAACGCTATTTTAAGCCCTATTTGCACGGTGTGACGAGCGGGTCTGTATCTAGCTGTGTGCGCCCATGTATTATAAACTCCGGGACGACTCTCACGCCGCACGAGCCACATATGCACACGCACACACGCACACACACACACACACACACACACACACACACACACACACACACACACACACACACACACACACACACACACACACACACACACACACACACACACACACACACACACACACACACACACTTTCCCCCTCTCCATACATAACATCCACACGCATCATCTCTCCCCTCTGTTACCGCCAAAGTTGCACACTGGCGCGGGTCAGAACTACATTGGAGCTTACATTTACATACATACACACACACAGACCGGTCTGTCGCGCTCCTCTGTGTCACGGAGCCCAAAGGATTCGCGCAAATACACGGCTCCAGTCAAACCACATGGAACATGTTTGTGTTTATGGTCCTCGGGATCAGCTCCACACACATCACTTGTATTTAAACTTTTGTGAAGACCTGTGAGACGCGGCTCGTCACTCGCTGCTCTGACCATGTGAACGAGCCGTCGTTTGCTGCTAGAAAGTTTTGGTATTAACCCGCAGCACAGCAGAATGGGAAGATTAAAAAAGCAGTTCTCTGTGCGCAAAGGTGCCGGAGCTGTTGCGGGTTTGGGCGCCGCTGTCTCAGCTCTGATCCAGTAGAACGCAGAGCTGCACTTATGAAAAGTACGCGGCTCGAAATGGCTGTTATTTCAAAGAACGTGGACTATTTTAAACCACGCGGTTAACCGGTTTCAACCGGTTAATGAGGCTTGGTGGTCGGTCATGAAAATTCATAGTTTTTTACATCCCTAGCATAGACCGCTACCTCGATGCTAGAGAGTTAGCTATTTTTAGACGTTTGGAGAGAGGTTTTACTTAAAGCTGCACTAACTGATTGAGACATTTTCAAACGCGAGCGATGCCCTCGCTCTCTCTGCTCGCCCTCCCTGCACCCACGGCGCTTTCGCCCCCCACTACCCCCTCCTCCGCAGCCTATGCTCTGTGCTGTTAGCTTCGGTGCTAGCGTCTCACAATATGGCACTTTTGCACGTGGATGGCGTCACCATAGAATGACAGAACCGGGAAGCGCGGAGAGGACGAGACCTGGATTTTTCGCTGTGTAAGCAGTAACGAAGACAATGGAAGTTTCAGGTTAGCCTCTCACTTGTGCTAACTCAGCTGTCGGTGCTAACCAGAGGCTTTTCTCAAGAAAGCGGGGGCCAGCGTCCCGCTGTGATTGGTCATAATCTGAGACCCGAACCACATTTTCTTCCTTGTTTCATGAAAACTCTATCTAAAATATAATGTCACGCCAGCACGAACTTGCGCTACTTATTCTTCAAAAGGACGTACAGTACATCCCAATGCACTGCATGGATTGCATTATCGTAATGAATACGAAAATAAAGTCAGTTAGTGCAGCTTTAATCAAATGGTCCATTCTTGTTGTGTGGTCGGTTGTACGGCCCGTACAAAAAATGCGTAATCTGTCCCCAGACAGATTACGCATTTTTTAGGGCGGCAACTAACAATTATCCGATTAATCAAAAAAAAAATTTTTATATATATATAAATATAAAGGGATGAGAATTTTCAGACAATTGGCAGAATTCCGACTTTCTAGCTGAAAATGGACCTCTGTGACTTTTTGTTCAAAAGTACATTAAGACTAGTACATGTCAAATTTTCAACAATTTGTAAACAGGCGGGTGCGAGGGCGGCTATGTGCTGCGAGGTCCTTTCATGGGTCCTTTGGAGACTTTACGGAGGGGTGTATACGGAATCGGGACGGAAGCAAAAGTACATATAACAAACTACCTATTAATGCCTAAACTTAACCAGCCTTTCCATTAAACACAGCTGTACAAGAATGTGCCCAACTCATGTGAGCTACGCGCAGATCCATGGCTCCGCGACGTAGTGGGTGACGCATTAATCGCGAGACACAACAAATCGATAATGAAATTTGTTGCCAACACTTTAAATGATCAATTTTTATCGATTCGTTGTTGTAGCCCAAGTATTTTTTTCTAATTCTTTCGGAAATGAACAGCGAAAAACGGCCGCGGTAAAGTGGTTACCCTTTTATGCTGTTACCTATGGTAAACGTAGAAAGGGAAGCCGGGGGGATGAGGGGATAAAAATTCATAAACAAATTTAAGTTTTGCAACTACTTTCACTGCACACTTTTCACTAGGATGATAATGTGCGGACCACTTTACCGCGACGGCAAAAAGCCGGGCCACTTAACCGCGGTGAAAAACGCGAATAAATGTCTCCCAGCAGATTGGTGCCAAGACAGAGGTGAGTCTGTCTTTATTTCTCCTCTGATCTTTGTGCTTTTATACAGTGCTATTCGCCCACTGAGTCTTTTGAAAGTACTCGTCGCATCCATGCTTCAGTATGTGCCACTCTGTCTCACACACACACATCTGTTCCTCCGCTCACACGCGCTCTCGTCTAGCACAGTATGAGCAGGTGAATATGTGCACTCTATACAGTGCATCCCTCCCGTCCCTTTCATCCAGTCTGACTCACTCAGATTTAGACACCGCTAAAGTTATTTGACAGGCAGAAGTTTCTAACCTGTACTTTGGCGACCACTGCTCCTACCTTTGCGGAATCAGGATGGGTCAAATGCCGAGGATGAGTTGCCCTACGGGTATTAATAAAGTGCACCCTTGACTTTACCATATCTATCTTAAGTATACATTTTACAGTAATATGGTACATTTATGCATTCTCTATGTTTTGTCGTAATAATTTCATCGATTTTTAATTACTACTGCAAAAAGGAGCTCTTTTGGGGCATTAAAGTCTCCAATTGAGACCTTTGCCCGCTGCGCACATAAGCCACTGCTTACAAAGTGTAATGTACCAAATTGTTATGTTAAAGTTTGTCTCTTTCACAGACAGTTTATTTCACTTTTGGGGTGGTCAAATGTCTTCATACCACTGTAGGCACTGTGTACAATAAGTGAACAATTCACATGTAGAAATGCCAGAATCGGCTATATTTCATCGGTAGAGAGGATGGGAAAAGGAATGATTAGGACTCATTTAGCTCTATTGCTTTTGTATCATAATGGCCTATAGTTGAAATATGTTTTTGTCAATGGACATTCACAAAAAGACTAATTAAAAATAGTTTGTGGAAACATACCACTTCATGAGAAACATTAGGTCACCACAGGAATCAGTAGCTCCTATTATCTTCTCCGGCTCCAGTCCTCTTTCAAAGCCTCGTGCTACCAACACATCTTCCTGAACAAAAGTTAATGCAAATTGAGAAACATTTACATTTCTAGAGTGCAGACAAAAATCATAAAATCAACAGTCCGCACCTCTTTCTTCTTTTTGGATTTGCTACTGCCCTCCTCATCATCATCTGAACCCTTCCTCTTGGAGCTACTGGACTCTTTGGAGCGTCCCACTGAGCTGCTTTTGCTGGGCCCAGTACTTGGCGTAGATGCTCCACTGCTTCCCTTCTTATAAGTCTTCATGAACTCTGAAATTAGTTCAGGGCAGTCAAGGTTTTTCTCTGGCTCCCAGGTGTTGTGTTTCCTAAGGATCAAGAGTAAAAAAATGAAATAATTATTCAACCACAAAAAATATAAGCGCTATTCAATGTGTTCTTTAAGTGCTCTTCAGTGTAGGGATCAGAATCAAAAGTAAAAAAATAAAATAAACAAAGATATATCTGAGGCATTCAAGAGTTTAATGATTTATCAATAGCAGACGTTTGGATCAGAATTACTTTGACACGAACCACCTGCGACTTGTGGAAGGGGCAGAATATGCAGTTCCAACAGAGGTTTATCGATCATGATAGAACCCGGAACTAATGAACCCATGTGTTACAACCCAAAAATGATAAATGCAAAGATAATAACACCAAGTGTAACTTCACCATCTTGTAATATGATTTGATTTTAAAATCAAAAGTACTTATCACCACATTGCATTTTCTACAAATTAAGTAAGCAGTCAGTATGCGCTCCAGGAGATACACCCCAATAAAAACGCATACATTGACCGCAGAGTTTACATTTGAATAATGTATAGTACTGCGTATATGATAAATTCAATGTTTTGACAACAATGTATTACACTGTATACATAACATTATTAAAAATAAAACATACAGCCTCTATCAAAAATATACCCCCCTGCCAGTGAAACATTCTACAATATTGCCAAACCTGAGCTGAACTTTTTAACTATTACATTTCTTACACAGCCCCAGTTTAAACCATTACACCTCATTCTCAGTCCAATACAAATCATTAAGACTGTCGGCTACAGTTTCACAAAACGGTACAAACGAGTAATGAAACTTGCTGCCCCTGAGACTGTTCTCAAGAGTACAGTTGGTGGGTAAATCTGTATTAAGAAGTATATAAATGCAGAAAAGTGTATCATTAATGACAGTACCTAAAATCTCTGTATGAATAAGATATAAATAAATAATGATAATGCAATCACTCTTATTGATGTAATGCAAAACATGATAGTCACTTGTAAAACTTACTCCGAGTATCCCTTCCACTTGAGGAAGAAATCGACCCGTCCTCCTTTTCCCACCCTTCTGTCCAGGACCTTCTCCACCACATACTCCTCTTCATCAGAGGAAGACTCTTCTTCACGAGTCTTTTTGCCCATGTCTCAGTAGAAAGCTAGGTCACTACAATGAACGGAAATAATTGACAACAGTCAATTCAACACCATCGTAAAATGGCCTAAAAAGTAATTATTGGTAGTGTACACCGGTGCAGTAGCATTAACGCTAACAACATAGAAAGTTGTGCGAGTGTTGGAATATAGAAAAACTCGATAACTATAATCACTATGAAGCTCTGCAATAGGGGTTTGTGTCTAACATCGCCGACCATAAGCGAAAGAAAGAAGCTTGAAAATGAAAAGATAGCGAAGAAGCTAACATGGTTCTCCTTTGATTTGGGTGAAACAGACGTATTATTTACAGAAATGAAAATGCATATCTGCAAAGTGAGAAAAGGCAATGTATTACGAATTTAAAAGCATACCTAAGAACGTGTGTTTCACAGGAGCCCGTGGGTGGTTAAACGTGCAGCTTGAAGACCAGTTTTCTCCGGGCCAAGGCTTGAGCTAAGTTAGCATCGAGCTAAACCACAAAGAGTCTGTGCGTAAAAAGCGCGCGCTATAGACGCACTGTGAATGAACACGCCCCTTGGTCAGCTGACCCAAACCCTCTGCTCTTGGTAATACATGTAGCGTGTAGTCTAAGGTTTTACGTATGGTTTTACCATACTTTGACTATTTATTGGCTATCATCAAACGTTTGTAAAAAAACGACCTGTAACAGGGTTCCACTACATTCTCTGGGTCCCACATGAAATCAAATATGTTTACTTCAGTTCCGAAACAATAGTGTACGTCATTACAGTATTTTAAACGTGGCACGTATTCACCATATTACATTTAGTACAGTAGCCATACTTTTAATAATTCATTCCGCAAAAAATTGCATCAACACGACACTCCTTTTTGTCTCAGTATCATGGCTGCAGTGCACGCCTACTTGTGCAGATTGGTCCTCAAAAGAGATGGACTGCTATTTAAGCCAATGGAAACTCGATAATTAACTACGCCTCATTGCAGAGGGAGTGCTGACCAATGGTGAAAGAGAAGGGCTGTGCCCTCAGTATTTAATCTAGGGTAGCGAGCCGATCTGCGCTCGCTTCGCGCACATCGCCTTTCCCCGAACGTCCAAGGAGTCACCCATCCGAGCATGTCCTCTAACGACGTAAGTGATTTATTCCACTTATTGCAACTTTGTTTTTATTTTCTAATGCATGGTACGAGCAGGCAGGAATTACACTAACATGTATGTGCGTAGATGCCCATTTTGCACAAATGGCCCAAGATTGGGTGCAGTGTGTGATAGACCGAGCCGCCATTTTGTGAAAGCTTGGCCTCATTGTCTTTGTTTCTGAATTGTGTAAATGAACCAAATAGTTGCCCACTGTGCCAGTTTAGCAATTCAACGTTGAAGTTATATTCCATCCCTTTTAACTATTCAATGACCTTGTGCCTTTTAACGTAAAATGTTGTTTCCCAGACGAATTTGTGCAAACTGTAATGGCGACCATGTCCGTCTGCAGTCTGTGACGCAGTTTCCATTAATTTGGGGCGTTCTAGTTGAATCGAAAAGCATTGCCCTTATAGATTATATGATGAGATTAGCAAGGACATCGCCGTAATGACGCTGTGAAAATGAACCAGGCCCCCTTTGTTCGTGTGTAGGTCCCACGTGAACCGGAGCAGCTCCGCAAGCTGTTCATCGGGGGGTTGAGTTTCGAGACCACAGACGAAAGCTTGAGGGCTCATTTTGAGCAATGGGGAACGCTAACTGATTGTGTGGTAAGTAATTCACATTTATCTTTTCAATTTGTGCAACATGGCATATGTTTACCTTTTTTTTTTTTTTTTTTCAGGTCATGCGGGATTCAAATTCCAAAAGATCCAGAGGCTTTGGCTTTGTGACCTACTCATCCGTGCAGGAGGTCGATGATGCCATGATTGCTCGCCCCCACAAGGTGGATGGCAGGATAGTTGAACCAAAACGTGCAGTTTCTAGAGAGGTATGTCCTGGCGATTTACTGGTTAATACAAAACTGGACAGTTCTCTTGTATTTTGAATGGTCTTAATCTGAATTCTGTGCACTAATGTGTTGATTATCACTCATTATTCCTTACAGGACTCTAACCGGCCAGGTGCCCACATTACAGTGAAAAAAATCTTTGTTGGGGGGATCAAGGAGGATACAGAGGAGCATCATTTGAGAGACTACTTTTCCCAGTTTGGCAAAATTGAAGTAATTGATATTATGACTGACCGTTCTACTGGAAAGAAAAGGGGATTTGCGTTTGTGACATTTGATGACCATGATGCTGTGGACCGGATTGTCAGTAAGTGCATGTTTGATTTATTTAGTTCAATGTTGGTTTAATCTTTCTAATAATAATCTAATGTTTTTACAGTTCAAAAGTACCACACAATTAACTCTCACAACTGTGAAGTTAGAAAGGCATTAACAAAACAGGAAATGCAGAATGTTGGCATGGGAATGAGGACTGGTGGTCGTAACGGCAGCGGTGGTGGAGGAAGGCCGTATGATTATGACCGTGGGTTCAGCCAGGGTAAGTTTTTTTTATATATATATTTTAATTTGTCTGCTATACAATGTGCTTATGTCTCTTTATTTTCAGGTGGAAGAGATGGAAGATACAACGATGGTCCATACAATTGCAACGATAGTAAGGTTTTTTTTACTGGTGTAGTGGTTTGTTTGTTCTCAGTGTTCTCAGTTTCCTAACAACAAATGTGTTTTTAGATTACGGGGGTGGACCTGGTGGATACAATAATGGGGGAAACCGTGGTTATAACCAGGGTTACAATCAAGGAGGAGGAGGAGGAGGTGGCGGTGGCGGCTATGGGAATGGTTATGACAACAATGGTTATGGTGAGTAATCCGACTTGACAAACTCTTCTTAAAGCTGCTTGGCTCTAACTTGTTGCATGCCTTACAGGAAACTGTGGAGGAGGAAACGGTGGTGGTGGTGGTGGTGGCGGCGGAAGCAGCAGCAGCAGTGGTGGCAGCAACAACTACAACAACATGGGTCACTATGATTCCCAGCCCTCAAACTTTGGCCCAATGAAGAACAACTTTGGTGGTGGAGGTGGGAGGTGTTTTGGTATGCATCATTGGTCTTAGTTTCCCCCCATAGTTTAAATTTCTTAAAGTGAGTTAAATTAAAATATAAATGCATTGAAAGAGGGGGTAGGAAGTAGCAGTGAACTTAAACTATCAGTGTGCTTAACTGATTTTGTTCATTGTGTGCTTTAAGTAAACTGACCTAAATCTTAAAGTTCATTGAGTATTTTGTATTTTATTTTAGGAGGATATGCCAGTGGTAACAATGGCGGCGGAGCTTATGGACGCCCTGGGCGGTTTTGAAATTGGTAAGAAACCTGTCTACAACGTGACAAATGTTTGATGTCTAGGGATTCGTCAAGTGCAACAATTCTCTGGATGTCAGGCTATACAGTCAGTGCTCAGTTAACAATGTTGTTCCATATTGTTCAACAGGACTCAGTACTTAGGAGAGGAGAGCAAGGAGAGGAAGCGAGTGACAGGGCAGCTGCAGGTTTACCTCAAATCTGCTCAGCCAAACAGTTGTGGCAGGTTACAGCTGCTGCAAGAAGATGTACAGTAGATAAATCATGAAGGGGTCTTCATTTAAACATTTGTTTCTGGAAAGAAAGCATTCCTGTGAGGTTTTATGTAGATTATTTTTCATTTAAGTCTGGTTTTATTTGTATCTGCACCCGATCAAGTTGAAATAAAACTTTTCAGTTTTTTTTATAAAGTGTTGTTAGCTTCATTGGGAAGGGAGGGTTTATATTACATGGGAATGTTTATTCCCTTCATGTTGAGGTATAATCCACATGTGAAGGCTGTGTCATTGTTGAGGAACAAAGGAACTCTTCATAGAGGGCCAGCACATCACTTGCAGCAGACCAGCCCCTCAGTTTTGGAGTGATCATCTGGAGAAGGCTAGCTTAATGCAGTCTTGAGTAGCCATGGAAACCAGCTGAGGGAGAGAAGTAGAGCCCACCACCAGGATCATTGAAGCAGGGGAGAGTGAGAACTTGAGCCTGAGGCTAGCAAGCAGCAGCTGAAAAAGGGCTTAATGCTGTCTGTAGGTAAGACCAGACTTCTCAACTATGATAGTGTAACAATTCTTTAGCTTGTTAAAGTAACTTTTTACAGTTAACTTTGATCATGGTCATTGGACTTCTAGTAAAAATGTTTGCATGCTGCCTTGAATTTCTTATAATACTACTTTCTGCTGTTTAGGCAACCTCTGCGACCTGAAAATATGGTGACAGGCGATGGGTAATTTACCAGATTTATATGACCTAATGGGTAAGTTCCAGAATACTGGTTCTCTGATCACAGAAAATTCTTGTTACAAAGTATGATTTTACTTTACAGGTTAAAAGGACATTGCTCTGGCAGAAGAATCACTAGTCACTACAATGTAGTGTTTTATTGCTTTTTAATACATTTTTATTGCTTTTTATACAAACATTAAAAGTCTAAAGACAATGAGTTTTCTTTTTATTTTACTAAATCTGTGGTTTGAACTTACTAATTGCAATAAGTCACTTGTGTGTTTCAAGGAGAGGCACTAAATAAATGTTGCCTTCAGGTGTCTGCTGCAGGGAATACTCATCAACAGAATATGGTTGCCCCTCTTCATCTCTCAAATATGTGAAAACCTCAGTGTAAAGGTCTGTGAGACTACATTTGACTAGGGAAAGGCGTCGTTGGAATTCTTGTCTTTCTTGAGCTAGATGCTGTCTCTGAGCCTGTAGGTGGTTTAGTTCTTGTTCCAGGTGAATAATGCTTTCTAGCTTTCTTTTTCTGCAGTTCTGGGCAGCCACCTTATTTTTGCCTCTTCTCCGAATATCTCTCACTAGTGCTAGCTGAGTGTCTGTGAGAGAATATTGGGACAGGAGCTCGTTGAAGTCATCAACGGGTAGATTAATTATTTTCTCTATGGGGAAGGGGATTTTCAGCGCAAATGCCCGTCGCTCGTCCCTGCTCATAGGTGCATGTGTTGAGCCACTTCGCTGCTTGTACATGTCCTGCTGTAGACCATCTCTAGTAGCTGCTCCATAATCTCTGTAAAAATCAGTCTCTTGGACATGTGGTTTTGCAGACTGAGGAACTGCTCCTCTTGAGGGTGGGTAGGATAAAGTGGTGTGAATAGATAAATATTCAGTGTTTGCATATGAATTGTCCTGGTAACCCAGTGAGTATAACGACCCAGCTCTCGGCCGTTCAGATAGACATTCATAATGGGATTCCTTAACATCTGCAGTTTGATATCCAGCTGCTCCACAGCTCACATCTGGAGAGGCCAGAGGACTGGACCCAACTGACAGGCCTGAGTCTGACTCCAGGTCAGTGGTCAAGCAGCAGTGTGAAGGTTGTCCATGTGTCCACAGCATATGTCTGTACAGACTCTGTGTCCGTTCTCTCTGGCCGCGACCCTCCTCTGTAGCAACTGGGTCTCTCACAGCAAAGAGAGGCTGGGCACAGTGTGGTGATGGTACTTTTTGATTGATGTGTAACTCTGAGTGTCCATACTGGGGCTGGGCAATATGCTGATGCACAGCCCCCTCTTCGGTGTAGCACCTGAAATTATTCACGTCACAGGACCCGGTCTCTGCAGGCATCCCATAATGCCTTATTGGTGCTGTTGTCTGGTACTGTGGTGGGTCAAATGCTGCATCCGCAGAGGCGTCAAACTCCTAAAACAAAGTAAAGTTGCATGACTTTAGGCTTATGTACAATCGTCAAACCTTCAGAATGTGCATATAATTGTGTCCAATTGAGTTTACTAGGCAATTCTCAATATTTAACAAATAGTCTGTTTTAAGGAGATCCTTTATTGTCCCACAATGGGGAAATTTTAGTTTGATGCATATACACAGACACATCAAGTCAAGCAGTGAACACCACTTCCGCGCTCCCTGTAGGCAAAGTGGGTTAAGTGTCTTGCCCAAGGACACAACGACAGCAGATATCAGTGGAGTTGGTGGAGAAGGTTTCGAGGTGGGTTTGAACCCACAACCTTCGGGCTCAAAGGCCAATGCTCTACCAACTGAGCCACCCCTTATATACAATGCAATAGTTTCTATGATCATTAAAACATACCTAACAAAATCAAACGAGTGGGAAGAAAACTTATTTAATCCCACCCCTTTTTCCTATTTGAATAGGGCAAGCTCCAGAGACCCCCATGCCGTTCGAAAACCCGTTTCAATTCAACTGTATATTAAATCCTTTATATTTCAACCTTCAGTTATGTTTTTATGTACTTGATATACATTTTTTAAAAACTCATGAACGTACTGTGATGCATGAGATGCACACACGTTTTATATTACACACATGCTTCACATGTCGTCATTCTTTCATGCCATGCACGGTGGTGATAAACTACGATTACAGCCACAGCTGCCCTGGGGTAGACTGACAGAAGTTTGGCAATCAGTATGGGCTATTGGCCCCTCCGTTCACTACCAACCGCACACGCACACACCTGTCTCATTCTAGGCAATGTGTGTGAAGTGTCTTGCCTACAGAAACAACAGTTTGGCACATAAAGCCACAGCTGCCCCACTGTGGTGGGGAACTATAGTTCCCAGACATCTCCCATCACAGTACCAACCAGGCCCTGCCCTTCTCAGCTTGTGTGTCAGGATCTGGCCTTGGCATGCAAGTATGGCCACATAAAACCCAAATGCTATTCTCTGGCCATCCATTTTCTTCCCCTTTATCCATTTCTGGGTCAGAGGGAGTCCACAGGAGCTGAGATCTTTCAGCGGGGGCTCCCTTTGTGGGGTTAAGTGTCTTGCCCAAGGACACAACAACAGTAGACATCAGTGGGAGTTGTGAAGTAGGTCTCATGATGGGTGGGCTCGAACCCACGACCCATACAGGCTCAAAGGCCAATGCTCTACCAACTGAGCCACTATCGCCCCTTACAAAATACCTTAAATACATTTCTTTCAAGCTGAATGTTGATGTTTCTCAGCTTGACCAGCCCTGAGTCATTTAGATCATAGTTTATGGGATTTTTTGTTTTGACCCGAGGATAGCTTATTTATGCCTTCCTCAATACTGAAAGAGCAGGTAAAAAAAATAAAACACTATTGGTTAAAACATTTGTTATAAGTTGATCTTGGATACTCACAAGATCAAGAACTCTCTTTTAATATCAAATCTTGCTTTTTAAATTTGTATTGCATTCATTAAAAAAATAACAAATAAACAGACGTCATTTGTACCAAAAGGAACCATTTGCTTGGCAATTCTCCCTGCCACCCTGCAACATATGAAGGGCCCTCATAAGTGTGATCAAGTTTCTCCGGGAAACAGATGCCTATTGTGTCGTGCAGGGGGCCATGCACTACCTTACTCTCAGTCTATTCAAGCTTCTTCACAAGGTTCCTTGTAGTTTTCTCTTCTATCACAACAAATATGAAGCAATATTTCAATTATATGTCATGTCCAGAGGTTTGAATGTGGATGAATGAGTGATGGGAACTTCTTCCTGTAGTCAACTACATTGGCCATTTCTAGGAGGAAATGGATTATGGATATAGATATTGTACTGTTGTGTGTGTCTTAGCTCTACCTGTAGTTCTGTAATGGCCATCAACTCCTGCCAAGCTGCGTCCATCTCACTCTCCTGTGAAGCTCCATCAGGCTTTGGTCCCACTCCGTAGGGGCGCCCTGGACTTTCTGATGACACCTATTTTATTTTTATTTAATAGAAATGCATTTATTATTTGACACTTGATGCATGGTAATGTGATGTAAGAATGCACACACCTCACAACTTTTCCTCAGAGGAAGGACACGACTGGCTGAAGAACACATCTGAAAAGGAAATCAACCCAAAAAGTTTTTTTTTTTCCTCTTGATAAATACTTTTTTTTTTTGATAGTCTCTATACATTACATACCTCTATTGTCTTTGCCACTAGAACCACACTTGTCTTCTCAACACCAGTTTGGAGACATGAGGTCTTCGGTTCAATTGAGCTGACTCCTCCCATCAGCTCCCAACAGCAGCTATGCCTTCCATTGATAAGACAATCTACGGGAAGACAGAGGGTTTTGTCTTTTTAGACCTGGGGTCGGATTATTGCAAAAACATGTCATAGCAGCCAATTGACCGATAGCTTTTTAAACTTGGGTACAATCAACCTACTATTGCACATTGTAGTCTACTATTGTAATTATTTTTATGTTGATATAAAGAATTTAGAATAAAGTGAATATTCAGTTAGTATGCATTGGATTAATGTATTGGACTTCAGACAGACAGTTGTGACCTGGCAAGAATGTCAAAGCTTTGAGTTAAAAATTTGGCAGCCTAAATCATAGATTACAGCATTTTCATTAACTAATTATTCTGTTATTTTATTGATGCAAATTAGTTTTCATTTCATGCAACTTTAAACGCATATTCTCTCTGTTCTTATAATTTTCGGTATTGAGAGAAATACAGTATTAGACAGCTCAAGTTAAGTGGTATACATTTAAAAAGCATACATAGGTCTACTTACCTTGGCAGATTCACATGATCTATTCCAAAAAGTGTTATTTCTTAAACATAATTATCCTGTCACAAAAATCTCATAAAATATATAACTAATTCCTCTCGCTCCGGTTAAGCTTCCATGCCCTTGTCTCACTCTTGTCTACTGTCCGTATATAGCTGCACTTCACTTGAGGCACCGGCATAAAATGGGATGGCCCAGTGCAGACAACCTTCCTGTAAGGCAGCCGAACCACAAGTTTCTCTTTTTTCTTGCACTCTTGTATCCTTAATAGCATACTGGCAACCCCAACCTCCAAATTTCCCCTTTTGCCCACTTGACAAACCACAAACCAACAGTCTAACATTACACGTCTAAAGCAATCTTTATATGATGTTCACAGGCAAGACCTTAAACAATGTGAGATATAAGAAAATAGATAAATAAAGAAGACGTGTGTGTATGTATACACACATTATATATATATATATGTGTGTGTGTATATATATATATGTATGTATATGCAATAGTATACATTTAATAGCAATATGAAAATGCCTGCTTTACATTCTCAAATGTACCACTATAGTGAAATAGCACCTGCAGATATAGCCAGTGATGCAGAAGCGGATTGGAAGTCAGATTGAGACTGAGTTTAGTACAGATGGAATGTACACCCAGCTACAGGTAAGAAAGACCACATTGTTCGTCTACCTGGCAGAGCAACCGCAGCGGAGAGCAAGGAGCCCGGGTAGAATGGAGGGAAGCGTGTCTTGCACAGCCTGTGACCATTTAAATCCCTGCAGAAAAATTCCCCCTTTGCCCTGATCTGAGGCACAGTCTGCAGGTAAACTCACACCACTGATGCTGCCAGCCAATGGGTTCAAAAAGCCCTCAAGGTGACAGTATAACGATACTATGTAAGAGGTTAATATTACTTGATCCAGCAAACTAGTGTGAACCCCTTCTCTCTTAAAAGCTGCAATTCCTAACTTTATTTTATTTATACATTTTGTTATTTTCAACAGAAACAATCTGTGAAAAGATCACGCCACCTTTATCTTATTAGAAAATATTTGTCTTATACATGCTGAGTGCTCACTCTTTTGAGAACGAGGAACTAGTTGGATGGATTTTATTGCATAGTTAAATGTTTTTGTGATTATTAGTGCAGCTTTTGTTGTGTCAAGCTCCGGGTTATCAAAGGAGACAAATAAGATATTCTTGATAGTCAATTGAGCAAGTAAAGATATGAGTTAAAGTTACACAAACAAAATTAAATTGGACATTTCCTAATACTATTAAGGGAAACAATTGTGGCATCATCAAATATATATATTTTGGTTTGTTTAAGATGATAGCTCAATATAAGCATCTTAAATGTTTGTATTGCGACAACATAATGTCAAATGAACCGACTAGTGGTAAGTACATTATGAGGATAGTAAAGGGCAACAAAAGCAATAATGAGTTGAAATGTGGCTGTGAATCACAAATCATAACATCCAAGTATTCTGCATTTTAAGCGCTCCGGTGCAATTGGGCTCAGAGCTCTGTCTCTGTAGACAAGGAAAGTCTTATATCGATCAGGAATACTTTTGGAACACCTCAAAAAAATGTCAAACCACATTATAAATGTATTATAATTCAATATACTTATATTTAAAGTCTGATTAAGAAAGCTTACATGTAAACAAAATGTACACATGTGCAAACTGAAATATAATATAAAATAAAAAATAGAATCTTGTTTTTAAACTTTTAGACAGAAAAGGCCAAACCAGAAATAACAGTGTCTCTTTATTTGACCAAACTCTATAATTTACCAAAGCCGGTTACAATCTCTATGTTTTTTTTGTTATTGTTCTCTGATGCAGAGGTGGCTGACAAAGCCAAGAAAGGTGAATGTCTACCAGGAATCAAAGCAGGGACTTCCCAAGCCATGTTCCTAGCACCCAGCCCCTGACTCAACCACTGCTTGTAGACGCTGTGGAGAGGCCTGTTATTACAGAGACCGCTATGGACACACTTCCCAGGTCAACGCCCACACACTCACTCACACACACATACACGCACACACACACATACACATACATAGTCTTACAGTGCACAGTGCATGTAACATGCAGCCAAAGTAGCTCTTCAGAAGATCAGCTGACTCAAAGGGTTGTAAATTAGTAGTATATAATGAAAACGGAAATATTTTTAGCATGTTTTTGTTTTGATCTCTTTTTGGGAGTTTTCTTGGTTTTCTTCTTACATGAGAATAATTTTATTGTGACTTTTGTTTTATTGGAAAGTTGTTTTAAAGATGAGAAGTGAAAAAGTGTTGGGGTTTGGCTTGTGGTATGGAAGAATGAACATTTTTAGTGTCTGATTCTGGGAAAGTAAATAACATTGGTGGAAAAAATTGTATAGGCCTTGTTTTCAGCATGTTTTGTGCCAGACAATCTTTGTAAAAATCATTTTTTCTTCTTCATGTTACACGTTTTGAAATTTACCAATCTTATCTTGATTCTATATTTAGATATATTTTTAAATCTTGTGTCAAAAATGCGTTCAGTGGATCAATAAAGTAATTATGTCAAAACAAACAACACTTTAAAGAACTGAACATGTTGGACCGCAACGGTCCAGCATAAACCTCCTGAAGATTTACCTGGGCGGCACGGTGGCTGAGTGGATAGCACTCTCGCCTCTCAGCAAGAAGGTCCTGGGTTCGAATCCCGGTTGGACCAGGGCCTTTCTGAGTGGAGTTTGCATGTTCTCCCCGTGTCTGTGTAGGTTTCCTCCGGGTGCTCCGGTTTCCCCTACCACTAAAAATATGTACAATAGGTCTGGCATGTGCCTCCTGTACTGGCCCCACTCCAAAAAATAACAATTGTAAACCGCTTTGAGACTCCTATGTGCAGTGAAAAGGCGGTATATAAATAAAGCTTACTTACTTACTTACTGAAGATGACCCCAGCAGATACTTTCTGAACATTGTTTTTTGTGTCATCATTGTCTTGTGTATCCAGCAATGAATTAAACTTAATGAAATAAAAGAAGTTTAGGCCGGGGCCACCCTTAAAGATTTTAACTATGACATTTACAGTATTGTCAAAGTGTGTGTTTTACCCCAAAAGTGTAAAGGAGGATGTTGGTTGGCGGAAAGCCTGCTTAACGCTGATAAAAGTGTTATTTTGTCTTTAGGAAGGGAACTGCCAACTGCTGTGGTCGGTTATGCAATTCCAAATGTGTTAACTTTACTTGTGTCGGCTTCTATTCTTTTATTGTAATAATGTACATGCACACAATAATATTTATGTACAGTGTTGAGTTTAAAAAATATATATATTTTAACCTATTTTATGTTAAATGTATACTATGCGTAACATTGAATTAGATTTCCTTAAGTAATAAGTTAAAACAATGACATCACTGATTGTTTTAACTTACTGGGGCAAAATGGGGGAAATCCCATCATCCAGAGTTTCCGAGTGCTACCTAGAAGTTGATTCTGGCATGACTGGAGTTTGGTTAAGAGACTCCCTAAATAGAAACTCATACTCAGTCACAGGCCATTTATTTATGATTATTAAATTATGTATGTATATATATATTTATATAATCATGTATATATACATTTCTCTCTTTATACACACAGACACACACAGACACACACACACATACACAAATAAATATACATATCAACATAATCATCTTTCATGAATAACCAAAATTATGTCAACCAGAGGCGATTGTTGGATCGTTGCAGGTACCTCTTTGTACCTAAAAGTTCCATGGTCGAATTCTGTAAACCCACGACACTATGACCTTTCTTTCTCCTGTGAACGGTAACTCGCAGTGGAACAGAAAGGTCCTCATTATCCACCATTCTGAAAGTAGGCACGAGGAGCATTTAATTAAAGATCCTCGGGAGCACTGCTGTCTATGAGCGACACCAACCCTGCCGCGCCAGTAGATGGCGACAGTCCATGTTGTTTGGTCGGTGCCAAACAGAAACCAAGAAGAAGAGTAACGTTAGCTTGAATGCTAACTGTTGCCAACGCAGAGAACGATGAACTCTCCCATACTGGTAAAGTCTACGGTTTTGTTCATTTTGTTCATTTTAATTTTTTTTTACACATGATACTAACTAAAATATTAGGATAGTTTTACATACATAATTTAAGCAACGTTATATATTTATATTTTGTTTAATTGTAATGCACACTAATGCTAATAGCTAACGTTAGCCGAACCCAGTGCAGATGATGTGGAAGACCGGAATGAGCATTGCAAGCATAGGTTGGTTGTACATACAATAAATGTTTACTATTTACTTTCACAGGAACCATCCCTATACACTGTCAAAGCTGTTCTCATTCTAGATAACGACGGAGACAGGCTCTATGCAAAGGTATACATACAGTACAGCACCTTACACGACAAACATATGACTGTCCTGTTCATTGCCATCTTGTTGACCTGCAGTATTATGATGACACATACCCTACAGTCAAAGAACAGAAAGCCTTTGAGAAGAACATATTTAACAAAACCCACCGGACAGACAGTAAGCTGGATGCAAAACATTTTCACACACTACTTCTTCAAAAGTTATTAAATGTGGTATATCTCAATGCTTGTTGTTTCTTCCCATACAGGTGAAATTGCTCTACTGGAGGGTCTGACAGTAGTTTACAAGAGTAACATAGACCTCTTCTTTTATGTGATTGGAAGTTCACATGAAAATGAGGTATGAAAACTGATTTAATAAATATGATGTATATTTTGTTCATGAAGCTTATGTCCTTAATTAATGCCTTTTCTCTACATGTTAAGATGGCGTAGTCCTTGTATAGTCACTGAATACTGCTTTGGTTACTGCTGCTAATGCTTAATTATACTTGTGCCAGACTTCATAGTTATAGCTTGAGAATTATTTCAAGATAATGTATTGCAGTTCTTTTTCATATTGGATAAGTATATGGCATCATAATACATATAAACCTTGGTATTGCTATTATTACAAACATTTTAAATCACAATAAAATCACGCATTATAACTGCATCATAGCTTTGTATAATTTGAGTATTGTATTTCTGGCTGCTAGCATTTTGTTTGTGTTTGATCTTAACTTTTTGTTGACTTTTTTTCTTTACTCCAGCTCATGCTTATGGCCGTTCTCAACTGTCTGTTTGATTCACTCAGCCAGATGCTGAGGTATGTGCCAGAGTTTAGTATCTATTTTGCTTTAATTACACACTTGCAGTAAACACATTCATTCTTATTAACCCGTGGCAACATTTTGCAGGAAAAACGTTGAAAGGAGGGCTTTGCTTGAAAACATGGAGGGACTTTTTCTTGCAGTGGATGAGATAGTGGATGGAGGGTTAGTGCAAAAATGTGCATATTATGATTATGTGTTGATAAGCGTAACCTCTTGTAATTACTCTATGATGACCCCTGCAGGGTGATTTTGGAAAGTGATCCTCAACAAGTTGTCCATCGTGTGGCCCTTAGAGTAAAAATCTGTTCTATTCTTTTCTTTTATCAACATTTAACAATGTGGACAAGTTTTATACAAAAATACATTTGTTCCTTTAGGGAGATGATGTGCCTTTAACAGAGCAGACAGTCACCCAGGTGAGAAAAAATATTAATTTGACTAGTATAGAATATCTTTATGGTCTTTTTAGGTAGGAGTTCATCTTAAGCCCATGTACCCCTTTGCTCTTATTTGTGTAAAATGTTACTGATGCACCTTGTTGGCAATGTTTCTGCTTGGGTCCACAGGTTCTCCAGTCAGCCAAGGAGCAGATTAAATGGTCCCTCCTTCGATAGTCAATTGAGCCTGATCTTCTGGGCTGTATCCTTGTCCTTTTTGTGAGGTCGCACTGACTGGCTCCCACACTCCTTGGACCACAGCTTCATTCACTTTGTCTTCTATATCTGTTTTACACTGGTTTGAGTTTTAAACCAGATATGTGTCATTATATGTGACATTTGTTGATCTTCTCATGAACAATAAGCATGTTTATCCAGAACATTGGAAATTGCTGTAAACATTCCTTATGTCTTTGTGAATTATCTTATTATTGGTGCCTCTTTCCTGTTATTTTCATACCACTGTACAAAAGACCAGTCATTTCCCACTAATGGTGGAAACTTAAGATGTTGAACATATAATCATATTAAAAAACAGAATTATATTATGTTTATGAATATCAAAATTGAATAATAAAAGGATATTCCTCCAAGATAACTGGTTGCATTCCTCTCACCTTCGGTTGGGTTTGCACTTCAGAGGTCTGATGCTTAAATTACATCTAGATACCGGTCATCCAAACGTCTTAACCAATTAGATTTCTTTGCACATCGCAGAGTTTCATCTGGATTACACTTTGTAACAACATTCTATGGTTGTGACGCCATCTAGTGGTCAGTTTTTGTAAGACTCGCTGAACAAAGGAGGCTGCAGTTTTTTGAAGTCTGATGTGGCCATTCATGATCATATAAGGTTGAGCCACTCGGGTGGTTCACTCACTTTCAGCCACTCATTTCAATGTACATCAAGAATAATCCCGACAGTGGAATAGTTCGACAAGAGGCTCTAGATCATCTTGATGCCTGATGCATCTCACTAGAAATTAAATGATTTCCAGGATCTGCTGTGTGTGAGCAAGATTGACATGAGCTTGTATGATTCGGTTTTGCCTAATTAATGGATATATATTATTGTATTTGGTCTCTGATTCATTATGAATGGTAAAGCTGGTTGTCAATTGAAGTAGTTGGAAAGATTCATACTGCGCTCATAGTGGGACCATAAACATTTTTTTCATTGCTCATTCAATGGCAAATGGTAATGGTAATAATGGTAAATTACACTGTTGAATTATATTAATCATATCTAACAACAAATATGATATAACTGAAATGAATGGAACCCAGGCATATATTTGACATGCATTAGTAAACTACTGCCTTTCAAATCAACTTGGAAAATAAATGATCAAAAAACACCATGCCTCTTTTATATTAACCACATGTCTCATTATTGGCATATGGAGGATGCAAATAATACATAGGCATACTGCATTTTTTCTAATGTGTTTTATAGTAGCACGCATTGTTGTTGTACCTCAAAGGTGAAAGTTTAATTATACAAAAAGAACAATAATTGTCACAGAGAAAAGCAAGCGGGTGACTAAAGGCAACACTAATAAGATAAAGTGAGGCATTTTATGGTTCCTAGAACTGAGCATGGGTCGAAGTCTGCTTCTTGTGTGCGTGTGTTTATGTGGGTGAATGTGGCGTGATATTGCCACATAACAAAGAGGAGTGACTCAATGAAACTGTTATTGGCTGTGACCTATGAGCCTGTGGTGCTGGCACTTGTCCAGCTTGATTCAGACTCTCAATGTTGATTTCTGTTTGGTATGGCCCCCCATGAAAGTAGGGTGTTCACAAATGTGAAAAATATGTATTCATAAGGAACATGAAGCTTTAGGTACATTAATATCATAATGTAATATTCTCAATTTATGTGGGCTGAAAATGCTTGCTTCAATGCACTTATTACAATTGGACGATCATAAACCCTGCAAGCTAATTTATATTAATTGTAGGAATTAGTAGAAGAGTTCGAAACACTATTGCCTGACATGGTGGATGTAGCATGCCGTAAAATTGTCAGAGACATAGGCTAGTGGCTTGTTGTAATTGATCGATGTATATATGTGTCATAGTCCTTGTGTTGTGTGTACGTGCTTGTGACTTGTCTGGGTAAATTAGAGTCTATAAATTATCATCATCTGTAAGCTTACAGAGTCTTAATGTCAAAGTCAATGTGTTTGAGCACCCATCCAATGGCATGCTCTTTCTAAAGAAAAACCACAGTGGGGGAAAACGATGACCGGAACGGCTCTAGCCCGATACTGTAAACATAACAAGAGAGTGTCATTACTCAGAGCAGAACAAAGGCCAAGACCCTCGTGATATTTAATGACCTGCTGTGTTATAATGAACAATCTATTTTACTGCAGCTTTCACAGTTGTATTCAAAGGGTCACTCAAACAAGAAAATAATGAAAATGTGAGCTAATTAGAAAGTAATTATCACGCTTTGTTGTGCCCGTAGTGTGTGTAGTATTTTAATAGTTCCTTTGCAGTCATATTGCTATGTTAAAAGGGTAATCAAAGAGCGCTCAGAGAATGTGTTTCTGAGTGCAGCAATGGTTGGTATGGGCCTAGGCCTGCTCTCTTAGCTGCAGAAGCATCATGCAGGTTGACATGCTTTATAGCCCCAGTTGCCCTCTCTGGGTCCGTTTATGGATTCCTATAGAACAGAGAATCATGGCCACTACAGGAGAAGTCGGCCAAAAACAACTGCTGTGTACAACTCTCCTGCCAGAGCGAAACATAACTCACACAGCAGCTACTGTGGCAAAAAAGTCTTTATTGTAATGATATAAGACGATTGTAAATTTTGATGCTAATGTTTATTTTTTGTTGATTTAATATTAAAGTGTCACCTCATATGTGGGTGGTTTATTGGCTGCTGCTACAGGTCATTGATAAAATGTGACTTTGTCATATGTAAGGGATTAAATAGCATTGCCTCTGAGCTTGAGTTGTGTTACGATTGTTTAAAGATTTATTTGGTGAAAATGCAAAGCTTTAATAGAATATGAAAGTGTAATGCCAAGGGCCCTGTTCATGAGGAAACAGAATGTGTTGATAACACTTCAGGCACATCTGTTTTGAATAGTAGCAAGACCTGTTCCCCCCAAGACTCAGACGGGGATCTGGAGGGCAGTGTGCAGCCGGGCGCCCGTTCCTCTGCTGTTGTTGTTGTGCTATGACAGCGTTGGCTACTGGGTTATGACTGTGATCAAAGGTTCAGCACCAAGTTTAGTTTTGTGATGATGCAAAAGAACATTAATGGCACCCATAAGTCATCTTTCACTCTAGGCAGCCAGGCTCAGACCAAGCACTGTTGGCCATAAAGCTTTATGAGTGTTTCTGAGTTGACTGTAAACTCTCTACAACACATCTGCCAAATGGGACGTACAAATGCTTTCTACATCATACATTTTTGCATCACATTTAGTCTTGTTTTGACACCTCCAAACACTATGTCTTTGTACACCACATAGAAGCAAATTTTACATGGAAACAAAAGCATATTGTGTGGCATGGTATACCTCTTGAACCCTTGGCTCCCACCCCCTTCCTTATATTTTCTCTCCCTTTCCTCACTTTCTCCCCTCCCTCGTGGATTCCCCAACCAGCACCACAACACCGTTAACAGAAGCTGCCTTGACAGATTTACTGCCACCGACTTTCCATTGGCCGCCAGGCTGACAGCTCAGATTTAAAGCTACCTCCTGATTGGCCGGAACAGCGACAGGCTAATTTACAGCCGCGCTGTGATTTGATGCCTCTTGCCTTTGAAGTGAGTTACAGCTCTGTCGCTTATAGGACACAGAAACGGTGTCAGGTTGCAATCGTAAAATCTTATCCCCAAAGGGAGGGAGGTGGCTCTGGACTATAATGGTTCAACGTCATATAGGAGAAAAGACATGAGACTCGAGTCTTTTGAGCAAAAGAGGTTGAGGGGAATAGAAACATTCCTGTTGTTGTTAATGAGTTGTTTACATTTTTTTAAAGTAAGATTATCATACCTCTAATAGAATTTGAAGAAGAAAAAAAAAGCGTTGAAAGACAGACCACATTGTAGGTGTAATGTAAGACCCATTAGATTAGACCCCTTATGACCAAGATTGTTACTTAAATGTGACAGAAAATAAACAGCAATGTCACTTTGTCACACCTGGCATTATGTTCTTTATGGATTCCATGTTTATGAACCATTATCATCTTCAGCACGTCTATTCATCAGTCCATTTTGACAAGATGAAGAGGGCCGACCCTGTAACAGCCTTGACCCAAGGAAATCTCTGAGGGGTAAATTGCACATCTGCCCCTGCCCTGTCTCTCAACCCTGAGTCCATTCATTATCCTATTCCCTCTGATATAACACTCTCACATCACACGTAGGATCGTCTGCTCTGGTGGATATTTGTCAAAAAATAAGAACTGCAACTCTTGGTAGACCTGGGGTAGCCTTGTCAAGAGAGGTTATGTAATATCAGACCTTCTGGTGAACTTGATATCTCAAGGTCACACAATATGTTCTCTGGCAGCATGCACTGAAACAGGACAAAATAGTCTTTGAAATCAATGACAACGTAAACTATTAACTATTTATTAACAGTTCCAAACCATAATCCTAATAGTTCTTAAGTCTTACCTTTTCCCAGCAGTCAATTTAAAATGTTAGGAAATGTTCATTCATTCCATGCACCATCAATCGGCATCATCGTTCCATTACCGACCGCTCTCATATGCCAGATTCAGGCTGTGGGCGATGTAGACATAACTATTGTAGGCAGTAGAGCCACTTTTGCTCCTGGTATTCCCAAATCAGCCCTCTTTTGCTGAGTTCAGACAAAATTGGATTATTTTAGCGATTATTATAGGGATTATTTGAAACGAACAGAAAATCAGTCAGAACTTCAGACCTAAGTAATCTGCATCTTAGGTTGTGTTCTGTTTAGTTCAGAGTTCATCATAGGGACATAAATGCCTGATATTTGCTAAATAAATATTTACATTTCTACAAGAGTTTTAAATTTGTTACCTTGCCGGGAATGAGTACAATGAGTAAACAGAAGTACAAAAAAAAATGCTGCTTGGAGCGTTGAGTAATACTTTAATGATATCTTCAATATGAACTCTTTCAGACATCTTTGTGGGGCCTCCTGCAGACACCTCAG